TGTACCTGGACTTTCTGGAGGAATCATAGATTCATTACATTAAAATAAAAGTTCCTTGACCTTTTTAATATCAGACTCTCCGTTAACTGTATAGCATTCTTGCATTGACTTTTGGTGTGTTGCAGCAGCCAACCTACTGGCAGGGGTGGTGTGTCCCGAAGGCAGGAACATGCTTCTAGACGCAATTATGGTGGAAATCGAAGCATGATGGTTCCCACAGATTGGATGTGTACAATCTGTGGCTGTATCAATTTTGCGCGGCGAACCTCTTGCTTTCAGGTTGGCACATTCTTCGAAAGATAGTTTTGTACATTCATAGTCAGGACTAGAGTAGAAACCCATCTTTAAACAACAGATGAAATTGCATATATTATATTGCAGGAATAACTGCTCATTGTGAGTTGGTGATGACAATACTAAAATAGATAGAATTGATAAAACCCTCAGGATAAATCTGTATTATGACAAGTATGTTTTCTCAGTGGACACTTTGATTGGGACTAGGGTGACATACATTTTTCGGTAGTAATGGTATTGAACATTTATGTAAACACGTTGGTGACATACTAAGAATGTATTTGGTTGCATTTTCAATAGTTTTTTTGCAGTAGATAGTAGATACAGTTTAAACTCTGTTAAGTGTTTATTAACAGCTTAATATGGTGGTCACTTGTTCTATTGCCCTGTTTGCAGTGCAGCTGTATGTCTCTTGAATTATGGTAGAACACTCAAAAAGTCATAGGATCAGTTACAAGTTGAAACTATTCATGGTCTCTTTCTCCTTATGCAGTGTAATGAACCCAAGACCAAGGATTCTCCTGCAGCAGATGTAGGTTTGGCAAACTCAGCATCAGGAAAACGAATTTCGGAGACAGGTTCATTGTTTTAAAGATGTTCTAGTTTCCTTGTTGGGTTAGAAGGCAGTTGAAAGTGTACAAGGTTATAGTTTTTTTACACTTTTATACATGCCATTTATACCTAGAAGTATTCTTCTTTTCCAGGTCCAACACATGTCTTAGTTGTACGTGGGTTGGATGAAGATGCTGATGAGGAAATGATTCGGTATGAATTTTCGAAACATGCTCCTATCAAGGTTGACAAAAACCCGTTTGGATATGTTATTTAATAAGATATGTATTTTTATGTCAGTTGACCTGGTATTTTTGTTCCGACCATTGTGTAGGATCTTCGTCTTGTGAGAGACAAATTCACACATGTTTCACGAGGATTTGCATTTGTTCATTTTTGTTCGGTAGGATCTCAAAGCTATGTCATCGTTGTACTTAATAGCCTCTGTTTTAATCGTCAGATCTCTTTTCTGCTTATCGTTACCCTTACTGATAAATTTAATTGCAAGTGTACCTTTTGATCAAGAAGTTACTAGATGTTATAGGAATTAGAAACCCAGTCTATAGAATGATCAGTAGCACCTGTATATATATATATATATATATCTATACCTTTTTTCATGTTCTATGTGTCAGGAACAAACTCTTTAGTAAATGTAATTTGCTAGTGTTGTTGGTAGTCTTTGCAACAATAGGAGATGGGATTGTTCAACAATTTCCTTTTTCGTGATATCTTTATTATCAACAACCACTTCTTGCATGGATATTGAAGCCCACGTAGACGAATAGTAGATTATTTCCGTGGTCGCAGATTCTCTTATTAGTTTAATATATACAAGGTGATCAGATTTTATAGAATTGCTTTGGTATGTCCAAATACTTATTTCCCCAGGTAATTTAGGTCTTTGAGTAGTTTTTAATCCACCTACCAAATTAAACAGAACAACCCGATTATGTTTGTGTAGGTTGAGGATGCTACCAAGGCACTTGAAGCAACAAACGGAACAGCTTTTGAAAAGAATGGTAAAATCCTTAGAGTTGCATATGCAAAGAGTGTGCATGGTTCTGGAACTGGTATAGCAGCACCCTCTCACTCAAGCAACCTCGCTGCTGCTGCAATTGAAGCAGCAGCATTTTCTCAGCAGGTACTTAGATTGTTTTCATCCGGTTTCCCTTGATTGTATTGGCCGGTTAAACATTGATCATTAATTAACTTTTTTAGTAGCATCCAGTAGCTTTACTTGAAGGTTTTCTTTTGAGTTTTCTGCTCAATTTGCACTGCCACTCGTTTTTGTTATTATAGTATGACGGTGTTGGATGGGCTCCAAAGGAATACAATCCTAATGAGAAACAAACCACCGAAGAGCAGGCCCAGGGCGTTGGAGAAACTGAATCCCAGAAAGGGGCTCCCGCTCCACAGTCTGGCTATGTGTGGGATGAAGCATCTGGTTATTACTATGATGCTGCTTCTGGGTACTACTATGATGGAAATTCAGGTTTGCACTTACTTAATATTTCTTTATCTGTTTGAAATGGCTGTATGGTTGGGTAATTGTAGCTCTAATTGGCATTTGCAAAACTTGTATTGTTTGAGAGTGTCTTGTTAGACATTTGAAAGTGCCTTACCTAGATGTGTTCATTCAGAGATAGTATCTTAGCAAATATAAGTCTTTACCTTTGGTTTGTTCAATCAATATCAGGGTTGATATTCTTTTTTAATGACAGTGAAGTTCTTATACTTTGTATGCACCAAACTAGCATTATGGAGAAATAGAAGCTTTATGCCTTAATTAGACTTTAAAGTATGGCTGTAGAGATTGGCAACTATTGTCTGTTATAGTTGATTATGGCTGCTGTATGACTTTTCATGGATGTTTGTTACTTCTGAATTTTATGTATTACTGAGTAAAGAGGGCCTCTTATATATATATGCCTTGAAAATTCGCATCTGATAGAGCTTAAGGATGAAATGTCTTAATGGCTCTGGTATTCAGTAGCCCTCTCTACTTGGTGAACAACTTAATTTCGCCAGTGTGAGAAGAAGGTAGTACTTTTTAATTAATCGTGTGCTTCTAAATATGCAGGTCTTTATTATGACAGCAGTAGTGGGCTTTGGTACTCGTATGACCAGCAAACACAACAATATGTTCCTTGTCCTGATCAGAATAATGAGAGTAAATTAACTGAAAATCAACCAGAATCTGCCAAGATGGAGAAATCCAGTAAAAAAAAAGTAATTATTTCGGCGGCTACTACCCCTAATGTAGAAAAGGCTTTGTCCTTACCAGATGCGGTTCAGGCGGCGGCAGCAGCAGCAATTGCATCAGAGAAGAGAGAGAAAGAGAGAGTGAAGGAGATAAAACTTGCATCAAAGAGTAGCATACTGGCTAACAAGAAAAAAATGAGTAACGTTTTAACAATGTGGAAGCAGCGGAGCCATGAAACTCAGATACAACGTCCTTCACCCTCGCTTGGGGACAATCTACCTACAGTTCCCGCTGAAGCAAGGTCGTCTTTCTCTGCTGGACAATCCAAGGGCAAGCTGAAATCTGATGTAAATATTGCAAAGGAGAGAAGTACTTCCAATCATGGAGTTTCCGCACTGACAACTACAGAAAGCTCGAGCAGTACTACAACAGCAGGAACTTTAATGGGGGTGCTGAGAGGTTCTTTTGGAGGAAGTCAAAGTGGAGTATCTTCAGCTAGTGTACAAGTGCCCCCAGTTATACCTTCAGTTTCTGTGCCGGTTTCTGTTTCTGGGAGTGGGAGGAGAAGGTTCTCTGAAACGCCGAATGCAGTGCCTACTCACAGAGAACAGCCTCAGACATCATACAGAGACCGAGCTGCAGAAAGAAGAAACTTATACGGTTCATCAACTTTGAGTGGAAATGATGTTATTGATTCAAGTAAGCCCCCTTGATTTCTCTCTTCCTTGGTAGACTTTTCTAAAAATATAGTAACATAATTGGAAAAATTGTGTGTTTGAATGAAGATGAGGATATAATGGGGTTGAGAAAAGGTTCATTGGATCCAACACCTTTTCCTCCTGGTGTGGGTGGACGTGGGATTACAACAACCACGGAAGTCAATAGTTTCGATGTAATTACAGAAGAGAGAGCCATAGACGAGAGTAACGTGGGAAACAGAATGCTGAGGAACATGGGGTGGCACGAAGGATCGGTAACTTACAAAAACCAGTTTTTTTGATATAGATAACATTATATATGTTAATGGTGATTGTTGGGGTATATGGTTAGGGTTTGGGGAAAGATGGGAGTGGAATGAAAGAACCGGTGCAAGCCCAAGGTGTTGATAGGAGAGCAGGACTTGGAAGTCAGCAGAAGAAAGTTGATGCCGAGTTTGAGGTTCAGCCTGGTGACACTTACAGAACTCTTCTCCAAAAGAAAGCACTTGCAAGGTTTCGCGATATGTCTGACAATAATTGACTGTTTGTGGGTGTGAAGTGAGTGAGTTGGAATAATTGTATCGGTCAGGTTGTTTGTTTAAACTGTGAAAGTAATTTTGAATACGTTGGTTAAGTGTTTTGTTGAATTATGAATGAAAAGAGACAGATTAAGCACCATGGCACTTGTACTGCTTGAGTTGACCCATCGAAACTCGTCACACGGACGTGGAGACTAAAGGGTAGTGTATGCTTACGAAAATAACTGAAATGCCTTCAAAGCTTTTAACAAAATTTAAAATAGTTTGCTGGAAAATAGAAAATATGCAAAAGTCATTTATAAGAGTATACAAGAGTTAGTTCGGAAAATTTTCATTAAGTATTTCATTCTTGTGGTTCAGCAGTAGCTAAATTTCATCTTAAGACATTAGATATGTTCATAATCGTCAGTAAAAAAAGGTTACGGCAATAATATACATGTTAGAAAAGTAGTTAATCTCGAGTTGACATTGGCTTTTCCTAAAACAGATTGGTTAATAAGTTTGTTGGAATGGCTGTGGGGTTTTGTTGTTGTCGGCTATTTCCGGATAAATGCCTCCAAAGATCTTTCACTGAATCCACCGTGATTTACGTTATCATAACGTGAGACACGAATCTTTGGCTTTCCTCTGTTAATTTAGTTTTACCGGAACCCTATATATATACACATTATGTATCTAAATCACGCTTAAAAACTTTATACCAATTTATTTCAAAATAAGTTGGTGGTGCCAACTTTTATCAAGGCTTTTCTTTTAAACATGAAGAAATGTGAGTTTTTGATTGATTGGAGGAAATCGTAAGTTTGGAAAAGGGATGAGGGAAATGTGATGACTGATTTATTGATTTGATTTTTTTTTGACAGTGTTAATAACAGGAGCAGTGTTAATAGTTCTGATTGGATTAGGGGCATGGGCTTATGTTTCCATTACACCACCACCTCCTAAGAGATGCGGAACACCCGGTGGCCCACCTATTACCGCCCCTAGGATCCGTCTAAGCGATGGCCGCTATCTGGCCTACGAAGAACATGGAGTTAGTAGACAAAATGCCACTTTCAAGATCATCTATATCCACGCTTTCTCCACATTTAGGCGCGATGCTGTTATCGCCACCCGTGTTCGCCCTGTAATGATTCGTTTTCATCCTCTTTTACTATATATTTTTTTTTGCTTAGATACTCAAATTGTTTGTCTGCATTTACATTGGGCGTTTGAAATCAGTCGAGGGACCTAAATAGAGTAATTGCATTCAATGTTTTTTCAGGGTTTTCTAGAGAAGAACGGTATCTATGTGGTGTCATACGATCGGCCTGGTTATGGAGAGAGCGATCCTCACTCGAGTCGCAATGAAAAGACTTTAGCTCATGACGTTGAACAACTCGCTGACCAATTACAACTTGGTTCCAAATTTTATGTGGTTGGATACTCAATGGGAGGTCAAGGTGTTTGGGGTGTTCTCAAGTACATTCCTCACAGGCTCGCTGGAGCGACATTGCTTTGTCCTGTAACCAACTCATGGTGGCCAAGTTTCCCAGATAGTTTGACATGGGAGCTATGGAACAAGCAATCTAAAACCGAAAGGTTTGCGATGCTCGTTACTCATCACACTCCATGGCTACTCTATTGGTGGAACACTCAAAAGCTATTCGCAACAACAGCTGTGATGGAATCAAGCCCCAAGATATTCTCTCCCCAAGATCTTTCATTACTGCCCAAACTCGCCGCAAGGGTGCCTTACAAGAACCAAACGACGCAACAAGGGACACACGAATCACTAGACCGAGACCTGATTGTTGGATTTGGGAAATGGAGTTTTGATCCGATGAAGATCGACAATCCGTTCCCAAAGGGTGAAGGTTCGATACACATGTGGCAAGGGGATGATGATCGGCTTGTACCGATACAACTACAAAGGATCATTGCACAGAAATTAAGCTGGATCAAGTATCATGAGATTCCAGGTGCTGGTCATATTTTTCCGATGGCGGATGGGATGGCGGAAACTGTCTTAAAAGAACTCTTGCCTATTCCTCAATCATCTTAAATTCATTTCATGCGGTTTGACATTGTTTAGACTCACACAAAAAAAGCTGTACATTTTGTTCCACCCCTTTGTTCATCTAGTATTGTGTATAAAATTTCTTTTCATTTTTGCATTTTTATCTGTTGCAGCGTAGTAAAAAGATTAACTCTGGTGAAACAAACCAATGACTTTATTTATTTGGAAATAAGAAAGCTAGCAGTAGATAACAACGTAAGTGCACCTATTGTGCCACAAATTTCGTTTCTTAAACTTGCAGTTATAAGATGCTTGTCATAATATTAGTTTGAAGCAGAGAAAATGCTCACTTAGGAAGGCCGGTTTCAGGATCGAGAAGGGCTTGAGTTTGGTCGTGAATCACGATGGGACCTTTTCCAGGTCTAGTGCAGATAAAATAACTGACTTCCCCTTTTTGATCCTGAGTTCCAATGTTGTCTTTAATTTCCGGTGGAGGTTGCAGATTCTCGACACCACTTGCTTCATCTAATCCTGCTTCTTTTAGAATCGAATTATCGCCCACTACATAACTGGTAAACAAAGAAATCAAATTCATTACAAACAGGTTTTTTTAGTTATCTTAAACTCATAGAAAAACACAGTTAACGGATCACACAGTTTCTATCTCTCACCTCTTCAAATCAGTGTCTGACTTTGGGGGGAAATAGTACAGAAGTCCCTGCAGCAATTGAACTGCAACCTTTCTGTTACGTGCAATTAGTACAGCATTTGGGCCAGCATCAAATGTGTAGGCAACCTGTCCAGAGTTTAGTTTTTGAGTTAACAGTTGTTTACACATTTGAAAAACACAAAATTGTTTTTCAATTAAGATTTGTTAAGGTTGAGCAAGACACTTAGTACTTAGTAGCACTATACCTGTGGTGTCCCTTCAGAACGGTTCCACTTTTCAACTAAACTAATTATTCTGGAAAAGCAAATAAAAGTTTAATAAAGAAGGTTTTGATTGCTAAATGAAGCAGCATATATCTGTCAGAATAGAGAAATACCTGTGGGAGGTGTCATTCATGTAGAATATGGGTGGAGATGTATCCAGACAAACCGCATGAAACTGATTACTGTCAGTACATGTCAATTGTGTAAAGGATGCAAAATCTCGATTTTTTATAGCTTCCTCCATTTGGAGAATCCGTTTTGGCACTACTTTCTACATATAAAAGAATAGACAGAATATGAGGTATAAGAGGTAATACAGATTTTCATAAAACATTAAGAGAACGTACTTTTGCCCTATGCTGTAAAAGCAAACTCGTCCCAACACTTTCACGCATTCCTGAGGTACTACTTGTTTCCTTCTGCTGTGAACTCACCTGGGTGTTGCATAAGCTCAAAAGACTTACAAAGCATATAAACTAAGAAGACAGGCTATGGACGAAAATATAAGTAAGCACTAGAAATTCACAGACTATTGATCATTCGAACTTGTCTTAATTCATGAGTTAATGTAGAAGAGGCTGCCTGTATGAAACCACAATCGGCTATAATGTTCAAATAGAGTAACCCGATATTGTGGCATGGAAATACCTCTTTATATATCTCAATCATTTAAAGTAATATTTCGAGAGAATATGAAACAAATGGTTAACTTGAAAATGGGAGAATCAGAGTAATTCTGTGACCAAGTCTAAAAGTCGTTTGAGAAAAAAAAAGATTATAAGATTCATACCACAGCAATGATGATAACCAGATCATCCCAATGCTTCTCATCTGCCAGTTGAACTGCAACACTGTCACTTCCATCATCTTTGCTTCCCATTTCCCACTTGACAAATCCACCAAATAAACTACGGCAAGCACTTCCTGAACCTTGCCTACATTCAATAATAAACCATATAGGAATGTCAGAGTTCATGCTATACGAGTACAACTTAATTTCTACAGGAATGTCAGAGTTCATGTTATTCAATAATAAACAACATGGAGAACTTTAACTTTTAAATATATTGCATTAGCAAAGATCATCACATAAACTGATCAAGTTTTGGCCTGTAAATAAACAATACATGAGGAATATAAATTTAGACTACCTGGCTATCGCAGAAAGATGGCTTGCATCTTCATCTACATTCATCAACTTTGCAAGAGAAAAAACTGTAGGAAAAGAGTAATTTGACATAAACTACAAGCCAATTTCGAGCTCGTGATCAATTTTGAGAATGTAATATAATTTCATTTTCATGACAGGAAAGACGAAAGAGTAAAATCGACTTAAAATTTAGCATGAAAGTTGGACTATTATGTGATATGGTAGACTATAAAAATATAGGCGCAAAGATATAGGGGATGAGGGATAGAGAGACAAAAATCTGCAAGAACCTCAATTCTTTTTTCTCTGTTCTGCTATTGATGTGTTACATACTAGGAAAGGACAAGCTATAGTATTCACTAGAGAATCTATACTAATCAAGAACCTATGAGAGATATGATCTAGTTCCTCTATACAACAAACAAAAGGCAACTGCATATTTATATCGTCACTATCTAGCCGACCTTAAAATGATATCTGTAGAATGAAAATACCATGTGGTTCCCGCAATATAGGACAGAAAGATGTCAAACATCATTTGCTTTTTCTATCTTTCAAGTTAAAGCAACCAACAAGGAAACAGATAGAAAAAGGTAGGAGACCTAGACAAGCAAATCCAGCTGCTGAAGATGCTAAGCCAGCAGCAGTAGGGAAGTTGTTATGAGAAGCAATATGCAGATGCAGTTTCTCCCAATCTTTCTTCCCTATCTTGATTCCTTTCTCCTTGTCGTCAACATCACCCGCTCGACTCCGAATCTCCCTCAAACAATTCTGGTACCTACTTCCAGAAAGAGAAATCTCCTATACTAACATGAAACAACAACAACGAGAAAGCTGGTGAACCCAACCGTGAACTCTTGCCTGGCAAAAAACATCAGGACTTGTCTAATTTGATTTCAAAGTTACCGAAAAAGCTCACTCAGAACTGAAAATTCTCAAATCTATAATACTGATGTGTATAAGCTTCGTGCTGCTTATCCATAGACAAATAGAATCTGAGCTACAAGAAATGAAGCGAGTACCTTGCCATTGAGCCACATGCGATCCCGATCAAAAGCTGGACTAACGGCAACAGTGGTGACCGTGCAGAGGTGATCGGGATCAAGTGTGACGCTGATGCTATCGTTAACGGGGAGAATCCGAACCTCATCTCTCTTTCCCCAATACTTAATAACAGCGATGTTCGTCGGAGTTTGCGCCGTCACCATGAACACCCATTTCTCCGACGCCATGAGAACACCAATGCTAAGGTCAAAGCGTACTGAGAGCTCTCCGTGCCCAAAAAAGAGATCTGAAGCTTCAAAAGAGTTGTTACAAATCCAAGGGAATAAAAAAGCGACGGAGGATTCGAAAAGAGATTGCGACGAAACGTGACAAAATTAAAGTATTACTTTATGCAAAAAATTTGGAGTCATATCAACAACAACCACCAAGAAATGAGTATTACTCCTTCACTAACTTCGACTCTTGTATCAAATTGTATAATTTTTGCCATTTTTGTCACCAAATCTTAACCTATAAAGTTTTTAATTAGAATAAAAATGGAGTTAGGTAGTAGTTAAACCCAAAAAACACCATAATTATAGGCCTTGAGTTGTCTTGTCTTTGATATTGGGTTATTTGTGAATTAAAAAAAAAAGAAGGATATGTAATAAACCAACTGATTCATACAGGATAACACCATATGGTTCATGACTAAAACAGACTTATATAGAGCTATATAAGCTCATACAACATTGGTGGTTAGGATAATTGAAGAAAGCATCTCATTCCAAATGTCTGGGACGCCAGGCAAGCACCAGTGACTGCAGTCTGATGAAGGTCCGGATATATGATGGTGCTTCTCTTCCTCGTGCATTGCTCTCTTGAACACTGAAGGATGTCCATCTCTTCTATATGCTGACATGGTTGTGATATCGTGCAAATATACCCGATATTTCATTGTGCTAAGCACTTTGTTCAAGACTCTCGACTGTTGAGGCATGTGTGGTTTTCTCGATGAAGATAAAGAAGGCAAGGGATTTCTCTGGTTGTAGCACATTTGACCACTCTCTCTGCCAATAAATTATGTGCATGGTCATCTTTGCCTTTAGTGGTGTGCATTTTGTATATATATATATATATATGATGATGATGATGTTATGAAGAGAGTGTACGAGAAGAACCTTGGTGAGAGGGTGCGGAAAATGACTTTGGTTTTGGATGGATCAAGATTAATCTCAACCCATTTAGCCCATGTGGTAAGTCCTCTCTCATAAGCAACCATTGGGTTCATAACTTTGAAGAGCCTGTTCCCATCCTTGTAATAGTCCCACCTAAAATGTATCAATAACTTGAGTGTTACTATTAGGAATACCAATCTGAGACCTAAAATAAGTTTAAATTCACTCATTGCCAAACGAATTTTTGAGTTTAAATTCTATGAAGATTGTATAAGGAAAGCTGTGAGCGGTTTCTATGATGGCTTACGAACTCCATTTCTGAGAGTGAGTCCACCAGTGAGCGGAGTCGAATACAAGAGCATCGACACCGCGCCAATATCTAGCGTTGTCTTCGATTGAGTCCAAATGTAACACCCTTTTACGGTCAGCTCCTCTCTTGAGTTCCACAAGCAGAGGAGCCCAACAGAACTCAATTGATGTCTCAAAATCCTGTAGTTACCAAAACTTGTTAGTAAATGAATACGTGATCCAAAAGGAGATTTATGTTAAAAGAGATAATGATTGTCACCAGAGAACGGAAAGACATTGTAGGACCATTGTAAGTAAGCTTCTTACGATGAGTTGGAATCACAGACTGTACTAAGCAGACAAGAGATTCCCACTGGTTTCTCATTATTGAATCTCCAACCAACATTATTCTTTTTCCTCTCATTTTCCCAAGGAACTTCAATGCGTCAAACCTTAAACCCCATCATGGAAATACATATTAGCTTTGCTTAAAAATCAAAGTTAAAATCAAACTAGGTAGTAAAACACCTAGAGCCTAGATCTTTAATTTTACACTTATTAGAAGTATATATATATTTACTACAAACTGTATCTTTAATAACAGCTCTTGCAGTCTTGCTTGTTCAAATTAAACTGATCTCTACTCTGTCTATTCCACTTAAAAGAAGTAAGAATAAGTAGAAAAAGAGGAGTGTGGTGGGTGCCTTGGAAGTGAGCAGCCCTTGGGCATCCATCTCCATTTCTGGTAATTAGAGTCAGGCCTTCCATTTCTCTGGCAGCTTAGTGCAGAACTCATATATGGACAACTGCTCGAGTCATAAAGCGGATACGTTTCGTCATACGTCCATTTCCCCACCGAGTAATCGCACCTCTCCTCTCTTCTCTCGCGCCTAGTCTGCAACGCGTTGACTGGATCATCGTCGTCGACTAGCCATAGCTCATTAATCTGAGACAATGCTTCTTTGCTGAGTATGAGACATAGACAAAGGAACAAGACTCGAGTGTTTGAGGTAACCATTTGGACCAGGAAACTGAGCAGTGTGTGCTTGGAGAAAGTAATCATATAAAGAAGATAGGCAAACACAAAAAGTGGATAAAGTGAAAAAGGGGCGTTAATTACGGAAAGTGGTGGTAATTACTAATTCGTAATTAGAGACTTGTGCTTGAAATCATGTCCCGTGACTTGCGTCTCCTCTTCTCTCCATCATATCCTTTTTCTTTTTCTATAGATTGCAGTATCCAAGGCGGGATTTGTGAGTGTGGAGTGTTTAATCTAACCGATATAGAACTGTTCTAGAACTCAACCAAGTTTTGTGTATATGGGTTTAAGTCAAACTTATTATAGAAATTGCATAAAACAATCCATATATGTAAACCAAAAAGTATAGAAAATGAAACACAAATTCTATAGTTACAACACCAAGAGGTATCCTATAGATGAAGCAAAGTGTAGGGTTTTGTTGTAGAGACCCAAAACTATCCCTGCCACAGAAAGTCCTGAACCAGACCAAACTCAGGACCCAGTCTTTCTTATTATCACTAGAACGTTTCAAACAACACAGCACAAAGCAAACACTATGCTCTTTGGTTAGCTTCTGTCCCAAACAAGGAGTCAACTTAATACGTCAGTCATGGTTCAGATTATCCTTCTAGAAAATCCATTTTTCTTGATCATCTGAACATGAATCATCTGACCATGATTGGTGGATGTGCATCCACGTCAGCTTTTCCTTTTCCCCCTTTCCATTTTAACCCATTATCAGATTATGAATATTACTTAATCAACCAAATCGTTTGAACTTTTAAAGGACACGAATCAAGGTTTACCTGATAACTTAGTAAGACTTTTGTTGAGCAAGACCGTACTTTTCCCTCTGCATATATACAACCCACAACAAATAAGAGCATAATATTACAACAGGGAAGTAAACGTTAACAGTTAACGTGAGTTTGTAATACACAAGTCAAGTTGAGTTTAGGTGATCATAGTTCCTGCTAAATCATTTCCTGACTCAGAGAAGTCATAAGTACAGCTATGAAGCAAAAATAAACACAGTAAAAAGAAGAAGGTGCATATAATATGACAATGGTGATTAGTAAGACAAACAAGATAACTGTATAAAACATTCTAGTTTAAAAGATTGATCTATGTATTTGAAACTAGATTTCTTACCAGATGACTCATGCTTGTCAAATCTTGCAAGCCATGTATCTGAACTGATTTGAGAAGATGTAACTTTATCCAACCAAATTCGAAACTGCTTTTCCTTCCCATCCCCATGTAACTTCCCCATCTCATCTATCCATTCATGAATCAGTTTCTCCTCTCCAGACGGATGAACAAAAACACCAAGTGGACTCTGAAAACATTGCAAATTATAACAACGAAGTCAATAAATCAGTTTATATGCCACAAGGAAATCAAGAACTTTTTCAAAATACATCAATTTGGGCACTTGAAAATCCATACTTACAGAGAGCAATTTCAAATACTGCAAATACTTGTCAGACTTCTCCACCTCTCCACATCGCCATCTCTCATAAAAGAGATAAAATTTAACAACCTCATGAACAGGATTCAAACTTTCCGCGTGGAAATTTTCAGTGTCCAAAACATCTCTTGGAGAGACACTTGGTCCCAAATTAAACCTCTGAATGGCTTCTATGATGCCAGCTCCACATCTCTGGGACGCATGAAATATTTTTGGGTTGTCCTTTGCATTTTCTTCATACCATTGCAATAATTCTTCATGCGAATTGCTAACCTTAAACAGTTAAATAGAAACACAATTACGAGCGTGCAGTCAAATATAATCGAGCTTAAGAAAATCAGTTGGGAACTAACCATTACACCATATACTTGAGGAACGTTATAAAGCTCAGCATCATTTCCAGAGTCACCACAAACAAGTGTGTTAGAAGGTTGCTTTCCTTCAATCTCCAATTTTTCAAGTAGATATGTCAGAGAACCTTGTTTGCCAGCTCCTTTAGGTAATACATCGAAAGCATAGCCGTTGCTATAAACCAGCTTCACATCCACCTATAAGGAAATTTACTGTAATCAACACCAAAAAAGGAACAATCTAACGATAAGAATGGCTATGAAGCTCACATGAGGGATAGACAAAAAAATCTCACCCCACGCTCCTCTAATCGCCCTGGAAGAACCTTCATTATTTCAATAGCGTGTTCTCTTTCCACAAAAAAACTCACTTTGTGCGGTTCTTGGCTCTTGTCTGGCTATAACAGACAACATAATATAAGTGCTTTAGAAACGGCCAAATTGCTACAGATTCAGCAGGAGACAAGACATAACAATTCAGATCAGGTAGATCAAAACTCTTGACTGTCATCAAGATAGATGTTATTTTCTAAAAATAGTCTCTAATCCAAACCAGCAACCATTAGAAATCGTTGGACGATATTATATATCCTAAAAAACAAGACTTTTACAAACTTTGTAATTAAAATTTGAAGATGTTTGCTTCTACGTACTCTATTGGTCCTTACCAACAAACTACACTCGTTGTCCTGTTAAGAGATGCTAAATCTAAACAGTAAGCCTAGTCAACGCAGAAAGAAACAAGATTATCAATAGAACATCAAGACCCAGATGGCCCAGTATAAACTCAAAACAAACATAATAAACAAAATCTCAGGAAACAAGTCAAATCATTGGATTGAGAAAAAGAAAAAAATCTCTCAATTAAATCATACCACCATGCAAAAAGTGGAACAATAAAACAAACCTGAGGCTCAAGCTGAGGGAATTTAGAAGTTTCCTCAACAACAATGTCTCTGTTCCATTTATCATCCAAACGAGCAGTCCAAACATCATCCCTCACCATGGATTCACCACTGCCGTAAACAATCTCAGAACCAACAGAAGTTATGGCGATGTCCGGCGTCAACAAAGGCTTCTTCTTTCGTAGACCCGAGTAGGAGCTGAAAGACCTCCCGGTGCAGTAAACAAGCAACGAGTCATGGCGATAGTGAGCTTCCCAAAGCGCATTGAACCTAAGGAGGTCGGTGTTTAAAGGGTCATCGTGATCCACCTGCGAGGATGATTTGATTCGTCGAATTTTGAAAAAGATTCTGAAATCAGAAGTGTATGTATATATATGTATGCGACTATGCGAGGAATTTAGAAATTTACCAATGTGCAATCAAGATCAGCAACAAGTATGAGACGTGGTGTTCCGTCAAATCTATCCATCAAAACTTCCAAAACGCAGGTGTTCCCTCTGCTTCTCTTTCCCTTTGTCTCTTTGCTCAAGGATAAACCACCTTTTGTTTTCCTTTGTTTTTATCTAAAGACTTCCATGGGAAGACGAGTCATTCTTATATTTGGGGTAACGATAGTTGTGATTTAAGTATATTTTATTACAATATTAGTTAGAGTTTAGTTGTATTCTTTTTACTAGTATTTAGAAGTTTCCGCACGTAATTTTTATATACCATGTCAACGCAACTAATGCAATTAAAAGGTACAGCTTTAATGCGGTGTCTTATTACGAACGATAAGATGACAGATCCTGATTCCTGACGAGACCCCCATATATGACCATACTAACAGTGGGTCGTCGTTTTAATCTTTACTTTATTAGAGTATAAATTTTGGTAGAGTGGTGGTGCCACACATCCATATATGTGTTTGTCTTTTCACACTTACACGCATTAATTTGCCAGCTTATACTAATTTTTCCTAGAAAATATGGGAAACTTGATGTCAAAAGTAAACATTGAGACCACATTAGAAAATGTCTTATCTTGTCTTTTTAATAACATAATAAGAATCACCTAATCCAAGAATTTTGTGGCACTTATTAGAATGGAGGTCCAAAGCTTATTTAGAGGAAATTACCTCAACACATGAGTGCAACTCCATGTCCAAACGCGCCTAGAAAATCAAGTCCATGTCTAAAAACACCCAGAAGAACAAGTCTATGCCTAATAAACAACATAGACTTGCGCCATCTTAGCCGATGAGGGAAATTGGGAGACTAGCTGTTAGGTTTGGACCTAAACCGAAATTGAAGAAGATAGAGAAGAGATAGAGAAATGCACCTTTTGCGGCGGAGAGTATGAGATGAGGAGAGAAATGTTGTAAACTTTAGGTTATTTCATTCGATAAAGAAAAACATTACAAGGTTACTGTTCTTAGGGGGGTGTATTGAATTTGACATTTTAGAAGATTTTAAAATATTTTCAAAATCACTTGTTATTCAATAAATAATTTTAATATGTCTACTCAAACTCTCTGTTATTGAAAACAGAATTTATGTAAAATCATCTAAAATCATTTACAATCCTTTGTTATTCTATCAATGATTTGTAAAACTAATATAAAATCCACTGTTATTCAAAAATTATCAAGTTTTTAAAACAACAATGCATTGGTCACGACACAACAATGCTCTTTTATTGAAACCTTCTACTCTAGATAGTGTAACTCCCACACTTTAGCCACTTTTGACTTCTTTCTCTTTGTTCATTTGCCTTGCTCTCCTTCCTTTAGTCCTCATCTTCTTTCTCATAAAAGCAACAGGCACTCTCAACCTATCACTAGCTAATCCACAGCTGCGGGAACAAGGGCATGTTGATTTATATCATTCTAACCTAGCTATGGGATTGACAAACTCGCTTACTTGACTGACCTGACCTCTGATCCGGCCTGCTAAAGGGAATAATGTATCCTTCTAACCCGTATCGAAAACAAAACAGTGAAGTAATCCTTGTCCTCGCATTGCTGAAACAAAAACGCTAAACTTAGGACACTGAGGTCTTGGTGTGGTGAGATTAAATCTTTTGTATCGTCTCTCAGCATACAATTTAGTTATTGTATGGCAACTCCAAGAAAAACTTGTCTCGAGTAGTCAACATGGAAGCTACCCCCATGTAATTGCGCACGAGGTCACTAAATAGATTTCTTCCACAGTGATAGCTAGATTGGCCGTCTCTCAGCATGTACGTAGTAAGAAACTCTCTTTCAAGTCATTAAGTTTTCCACATAAGTTAAGATGAGATATGGAAAAGTACTAAGCAAAAATAAACACCACGTAACTATGGCGGACCAGTACTCAACTATTTCTCTCCTTCGAACAACCCTCAGACTGAGTCCGCCATACCAAATGTACCGTGGACAACATTGATGAAAAAATAAGATTTTTTATTCTAATATTGTTGTCATGTTTATTTTTTATTTTGGGTTAAATACATTGTTTTTATGTTATATATCATACATATATGAATTACTGACGGGATAAATTAATTCAATAAACTCTCATAAATAAATACTTATGTGAGGTCTTTGTTTTTTTTCTTTTTTTAAATAGCTAGAGGTCTTTGTTTTTGTAATTTCATTTATTTTACAAAATTCTCATTGTTTTTGAAAATAATTTATTAATATTTGTCATATGCACGGGAAGAGCGGTTTGTTTTCCAGCGAAAAGAAAAAAAGAGAACGGGTTTTCCCCATTTGTTGTTTTTTTTTTCCGCTCTGATTTATCTTTAATTTAATTAATTTAAGTTTAATATAATATTTTGGCAATATTTTCCTGGGAGGCTAAAAAGAAAGACGAGGAGGAAGAAGAAGGAACCAGCATTATATATGGAGCACCCAAAGCATTCTCTGCTCTCTGTGAACCTCTCGCAGCCTCTTACCCAGGTAGGTATTCAAAACCCTAATTTCACTTTCTCTTATTGAATTCACTTTTCTCTCTCTCTTTCTCGAATTTTCCCTAGAAAATCACGAGGATGAAGATGAGAAACGGCTATCCCGAGCTAATCGAATTACTAAAAAAAGCTTTTCTTAACCAAACTTTTCTTTTCTTTTCCTTTTTTTCTCTGAATGCGTGATTCGATTTCTCTTTTCGAGAATTTGCTCATTGATTTTATCTGCACTCTGTGTGTGTGTGTGTGTTGTAGGGTTATTATTAGTTTTCGTTAAGTGATTGGATGAGCTTGTATGTGAAAGTGAAGCCAAGAGGAGGTTCACTCTTGTCATCATCATCATCATCATCTAGGTTGTTGTCATTGTTGCCTTCATGGCACAGCAACAATCTTCCCGACTCAATCGTCTCCTTACTTTGTTGGACAGTATCCTTGATTTCTGATTGTTCTTATCTTACGAATACTGTTTATGCTCCTTCCTTTTTTTCTTTTGTTGCGTCTCTTCGGATCCTAATTGAATAGTTAGTACATGTTCTCCTTAATTTTATTTTCCTTTCTAGCTGGTTCAACACAAGCTACTCGGCTTACTGCTGCCAAGCAGATCGGGGATATTGCCAAGTCTCATCCTCAGGACTTGAGCTCTCTTCTGAGAAAGGTATATTCATGGATGTTTTATTTTCTTCGATTTCTCCAATCCTATGGAGGGCGGTCGGGCAAGGTTCTCATCCTGGGGTTTACTTTTTATGGATTAGGCTTCTGATTACATAGATATAGGGATATGGTTGATAGTTAGTTATACAATGTAAATTAGTGATAATGGTAGTGGAAAGTTGCATAAATAGTAATTCGTCATCTTTCTTCTAGACCTTGTATACTGCCCTATGTGCTTGGTATCGGCGGGTAGACAGAAGAGACTCATTGATCCAGATGAGTTGAAGCCTACAGAGAATATAATGTGATGTGTGGTTTAGCTGGGTACAAATGTGTCATCCCCTGTTCGGTGGGTTTACTTCTGACATGTATATATATATCACAAGTCCCTGCATAGCTAGATAAAGTTCTTTATAGAGTTGTGCACAACTATGAATCCTAGGAGCGCCTCCTATTGTTTGACAACTAGTTACAACACCTGTTCTAAAAGACTGTTGTCAGCTTAACTTAATTTTTCCGGGAATTAGGTTCTGCATCACCTCCGTAGTAAAAAGTGGGATACAAGGGTTGCTGCTGCTCATGCAATTGGTGCCATTGTTCTGAATGTCAAACATACTTCATTGAGTGAACTGTTAAATTCTTTAGCAACAAAGTTGAGTGAGGCCGGGATGTCTGATAATGTAGATGAAGTGGTGGCTTTGCGCAATCTTCAGTCCAAAATTCTAGCAAATGCTCCCTTCAGAAGGTTATTATTTGCTATGTTACCCAATACATATGTTTTTTAATCATCTAATGTCAAGACTTCTTAGCTGGAGTTTTAGATGTCTTTGTCATCTTAAGGTTTCCCGATGTCTTTTAATGTCTCTAACTTTTGGCATATGCTAACAGCTTTGAGATGAATAAGGTTTTAGAGTTTGGCGCTCTGTTGGCATCTGGTGGACAGGTAATTTCTCATTTTCCATTTCTTACTTGTCTACGTCATTCTGTAAGATTTTAGCCCATTCTCTGATGTAATTTCTGCATTGGTATCTTGTCTTTAGGCCTAAGCAAACATCTTTGTGGATTTACATTTTTGTCAGTCTTAATTCGTTTGGAATAAGTAGGCTACTGGAATGACATTAATTTTGACGGTAATCTGGTTAGGTTCGTGGAGTGTTTTGGTTTAATTAATTTCTCTCGGCATCATAAAGAAAACATGTTGGATATTCGTTAGTTTTGAATTCTATAAGGTTTTGTTGAGGATCACATCGTTAGCATGATTGAAACTATTAGTGAGATTTAATCACCAAAAATATTCTCTTTCAGATGCCCATAGAATTTGTTAACTGCAGTTCCATTATTTGGCCTCCAGAAATCCTACTACTGTTCCTTGCATTTGTTCTTTTTCTTCGAACTTTTGAATTTAGGGGAGCATGTGAAACCTTCTGTTTTTGCTCCCTTTATCCTTACCTTTTTTTCTCTTCAAATTTTGTTGATTTTCTCATAAGATACGTTGCAGTTCCTTTGGTATAAACTAAAAATCAGATGATAGTCAAAATTATTAGTCATTTCTGACATGAAGAAACTGTCTTTGTTGCAGGAGTACGACATTTTGAATGACAATTCCAAGAATCCAAGGGATCGAGTGGCTCGTCAGAAACAGAATCTCCGGCGACGTCTAGGTCAACAGCTTCTCCTTTTCTATTAATCAGTTTTCACGGAGAGTGTTATTATTGTCCAGTTTCATGAAAAAAATGCTATATAGCAGGCTAGATTATATGTATAAATTTTGAGAAATTAGTATAATCGTCAATCAATTCTAAGTCCATTATCTCAGTACTATTTGGTTCTACATATTCTTTGTCCTAAAATATTATGTGTTTGACTTGATTGATGCATCTATTGAACATATTTCTGACAATCTATGAAACAGGTTTGGACATGTGTGAGCAGTTTATGGATGTCAATGAAATGATTAG